CCCCAAAACCCCAAAACCCCAAAACCCCATAGAAGCTTTTGAAAGAATATATTTGTAATTGGCTTAACTTTTTTAGTAGTCAATTTAAATTTTATCATAAAGAGGATATTTATGGAATCTATAGATTCAGCTGATTTTACTACTCTATAAAGTACAATAGGGGGTTATGAAAGATAAGAGTCACTAAACCGCAGAAAAATGAGAGATGAAAAGAAAGCTAAACTTATCTCAAAATTAGATATTAATAAGATAAGAAAACTAAGTTCATAGCTATCAGCTATAGCCTCTGATGAGATCAATGATTCTAGTATTTCAGGGGAAATAACAGACTCTGAAGATGAAGGAGATGCTACTAAGAAGTCATTCGACTCAGCAATGGTTAGTGAATCAGAAAAATCCTCTGCCAAAGAAACACAGTAAATGACTATGAATAACAAGGGATAATATTAAAAGAGCAAAGTTATAAAGAAAAAGAATCCAAACTAGCATGTATTAGTTAATTCGCTGTCAAAATAGGACTACTCCTTTTACTATGAGAATTCAGTCTGGGATTAATATGAAGACTTTGTTTATGCAATATAAAGAGGTAGAACAGATAAAGTGATCATAACAGCCAAAAAAGAAGGCATATCTACTGAGGAGTCATTAAGACCCGTAAAATAAGAATTATCGATTTTCAATTCTCTTTAGATAGTCAGGAGATACTATAATGCATATTTGTGCGGAATACGGTCATGAAAAACTACTTCAACATTTTGTTCGTGAGCGTGGAGATTATATGGCTCGAAACTATGCAGATGAGACTCCATTTCATCTTGCTGCTAGAGAAGGAAAGATTAATATAATTCAGCTATACTTCGATTCCTATCAATTCGATGTAGATCATGAGTCAATGGTAATACTTTTCCCAAAATATTTTTAATCATTTTATTAGGACGGATGGACAGCTATTCACTATGCATCATTGAATGGCTATATCAGCATTATAGAGATATTGCATAGAAATAATGCTAATATAAGTGCAGTAGACAAACTTAAGAGAAGCGCATTACACTGGGCTTGTAAATTTAACTAATTAGAAGTAGTAAACGTTCTATTAAGATTAGGGATCGCTAGCGGAGAGAACGGTCCTAATTCTTGTAAAGATTTTGAAGGGAATAAGCCGCTAGATATTGCTAAAGAAAAGGGATACTAGGAGATTATGCAAATCATAAATTAACATCATTCTAATCTGTAGAAAAGGAAAATACAGTTGAAATAAACAGGATAAATAAAGGATGAAAAATCTTAGCAATGATTAAGATATAACTTAATAATTCAACCTTAATTTCATAAAACTCTATTATAAGGCATTAAAATGTGATAATCAAGATAATGGGGTTTTGGGGTTTTGGGGTTTTGGGG